AGTCGTGAATGCCGAAGTGACCGGGCCGATTCGCCCGGTGCACAAAGATCACGTGACATCTATCCTCCAGGCGCTCTCGATCTGGAAATTCCGCCAATTAGGACATACGCGCTCGGGGACCGTAAACTTACTCTAGCTGCGACAGTGGTGAGTGAGAAGCTGCTGCTGCACCATCAATCGTGAGTGCACGGAACCGAGTGCGTCGGCTGGACCAAGCCAGGCTCGCATTCACATTCACATTAGAACATCGTTGAGAGATGGCGCACGACGAATCGTAGGTGCCGCTAAGTATGGTGATACAAGAGGGTGATAGAACACATGACGTGACATGACACAACGTGTCGTAATGACAACCAAGGGGAGCCTAGGGAGGATTATACACTTGTGACTGACTTATGAAGCAGCTGACGGCGCCTCGAGCGCTTCAGAACAAAGCGAGCGGCGAGTATGTCGTACCTTTGCGACACATTCTCAAGAAGGCGGAGGCCTTTTCTTGGGTACGAAAAGCGAGGCTGCGGCTCTGGGATTGATTCTTGAAGGCGGAGGTGCAGGGCGAGTGCGAGCGAGAGGCAGTGCTTGACCGCTCGCTTGTCCTTGATTGTGAGAAGCTGAAGGTCCTGCACCACCATCAGGACCACTGAGCGAAGGGCTCGGTGGTGGGCGCAGGTACTGACCAAAGTCACCCGTGAGAGGCGTCGATGGGCTATGTATAGCAAGGGCGGGCGACTCGGGCCCAGGGTTGATTGGGGACGTCGTAGAGCCCGCTGCGCTGGCCTTCCTTTCGCGAAATGGCGAAGAATGAGGATCTTCCACGAGCTTCCATCGAACAAGCCTGCATAGGAGAGGAGAAGAAATACGGTCAACACCGAAGCCAAAACTTGGTGATGTGAGGAAACTCACTCTTGCGCGACGCGCGCATCCTCTAACGAGCTGTGTCCAGCGGCACCCGCAATCTGGATCAGAATACCAAGGTGACGCTTGGCGAGCTCCCTGAGGCTGAGTCTCATCGGCAGACCTTTCGAATGAGGAAACAGCAGAGCCGTGTCCGCGATGCGATCGTGAACCAGACGCATCGCTCTCAGGTCGTTCTCCAATCCATGACCGATAAG